TTAGCTCCTGCTATTATTTTTTCACCACCATTTAAAGCGTGGTAGATATTTATGTTATTAAAATGCTTTAACCATGTTATAGATTGCTTTGAATAATTTTCGTTTTTCCCTTTATCTAAAACAGCTATAGTATCGTATAACAAATATTTTGATCTATAGATAGCCATACAAACACGTGCTATAGTTGTATAGCGAAAAGGATCAATATTAGCTATTTCTAAAAATTGTTTTCTAAGTTCTAAACAACCTCTTCGTTCGATATCCATATCTGAAGTACAGTATGCCTCCAATTCTTCTTTTAAATTAAATATATAATTTTCATTAATTTTATCGTTTTTTTACCATTTTTCAAATTCTAGTTTATTCTCTGGTTTCATTGTTTCAAATCCATAATATTTTTTATCAGGTAATATACCAATATAATTTTGATTTTCTACTGTATTAAAGAAATGCGGAAAGTAACATTTTTTCAGTTCTTTAAGACCAAAAGTTTTGGGAAAACTACTTAGTGGACCATGAATAAAATTAGAACTATCTATTATTCTTATACTTAAATTTTTAATTTCTAATAACATTAGTTTTGTACCATTATAAATTGTAAATGGCTTTATAGTATTATCAACCAAGTATTTTAAGATAAATTGTGAATCATATCCTTTTGCATAATGTGCTATAAATGTATTTCCCTTATAATCCTTGGATACTATATGTTTACAAAATTCTTCATTTGTATCAAACTTGATTTTGAAGGAATTAAATTTATGTGCAATTATTTTATTTGCAATATGTGTTCCTGTTTCTTGTTGAGCTTCATAATCAAAAAACATATATTTTTCTGTATAAGAACAAAACTTATATGGGTCATTTGTACCACTACATTTTGTACATCCTACAAAACATTTACCTCCTTTTGCTAATCTATGTTTCATATAATATTTATGTTCATTTATTTTTACTTCTTCATGGCAATTTATATATTCTCTATATCCACATTCATGTATATTGTCTACATCACCCAGCTTAGTAAATCTTTTACAAATTTGATTACAATCAATACATTTAAGTGCATACATACATACAAAAAAATGATCATCTAAACATTCTTGATTATAACAATATCTGTTACATTTTTGGCAATATATTTTATTTTTTGTACTACTTAAATGTTCAGGTCTCATACACAATTTACTTACATTTTTATCTTTAACACATTTATGTTCATTTTTATTTTTATATGTTATATTACACTTTTCACAATAATAAGAAGAACCATAAAAACCTGCCATTGATGTAATAACATCAAAATGATTACCATTTTTATATAAATAAATCTTAGTTTCTTTGTCCTCACCTTTATAAATTAAAGCATTCAAACTTTCAGCACAAATAATATTTATTTGTATATCTAGTATTTTTTCCACATTTTGAATATCATCCAATGTAAATCCTTCTTCATTATATAAAGAACATATTATTACATAATTTTAAAGCTAAATCTTTTTGAATTTTTCTACGCATCTTCAATTGTTTAATTGTATTAGAATCTAATTTATGATCTAAAATATTATTTGTTTGAGTAGATAATGCAACAACAATAGCTCTCGGACAACATAAATTATCATCATTATTAATCTTAATAATACTTTTTTTAGTATGGATATATTTTGATAAATTTATTATTTTATTTCTATTTGAACTTCTGGGTATGTTAACTATTTGAACTTGAAAAGTAGTTTCTGTAATATCAATTTCTTCATATGAAGTTAATAAGAAATCAACTATAGATTTTAAGTTTACTATGATATCGTCAGATCTCATTCCAGTATATATGGGAGTTTTTATATTTGGATTAAATAATGCAATACTTATTCTATCATCTTTTTTATATGCTGAATTGCCTTTAGCAAGTTTTACCATTTCATTTAAGGCTTTATCTATATAATTAATTTTGTATTCTGAATTACATTGTTTTAGATCTTGTAATAATGCTTGTTTAAAACTAATTTTATAATCAGCTTTAAAATATATTTTTTTTTCGATTTTTATCGGTATTAATCGATTTCAATTATTATTATTATTTATATTATATTTATATTTATATTTTTATCAGCTAGAGGGCACCACCGGTGTAACTCAGTTTTTGTCTCTAAATCTCTAACTCACATGAGTTAGGTCCATAATTTATGCTATAAAACCGCTCCCCGACATTCTCTATCATTTAAAAAAAAAATTCAGCAAAATCGGCCCAGCCGTTCTCAACTGATGCAATTTCGAATTTTTTGTCTCCATTTTTATATATTATATAGATTAAACAACCTTTTTTCATTTTACAAACATTTTTTATATGATAATATTGCTTTGCTATTAACTTAAGTTCAGGTACTTTCATTTTTTCTAATATAATTTGATTCTGTGGAGGCATTTTTATTAATTTATTGTACCTATACAATTTATTTTATTTATTTTTATTTATAAAGAAAAAATTTTATTTTATTTCATTTTGTTTTATATTATTTATGGGATTTATTTTTTAATAACAAAATTATTTTTATAATTTTATATTAATTGTTGTCTTTATTCATGTTTTCCGTTCTCTTTTTATGATAGTTTGATCTTAAATGTACAATATAGCATCTCAAATAATTTTTTTTCCACATTCGCATATTTTAAAATCATTATTAACTTTGGTTTTCATACAAGTCTTACACCACTTTTGATTTTTACTAAATTCATCAGTTTTCTTAAAATCTTGACATTCTGTACATAAATAAACTTCCTCTAATTTTAAAGATTGTAATAATGAGCTATTATTATATATCATCTTTTCATAAAGACTAATAATTTTGCTGTTACGATTCATTGTCTTATATTTATTTTTATTATTATTTATAAAGAAAAAATTTTGATATATTTATTTTTATAAATATAAAATTTAGTACTATTGTAAATGAATTTGAAACCAGTCACTTTTATTATAGTAAAAATCATGGTCTGTTTTTCCGGCCATGATTTTATTAAAGAATAACTGAGAATTTATTAGAATTTACATTTTTGATATCTAAAATCAAATTTGATCCTGACCGGTTTTTCCGGTCACGATATTCATATTCATTTAAAACTGAAATTTAAGTAATTTTGTGACAGTAAAATCGTGGTCTGTTTTTCCGTTCACGATAATTAAAAACTTAAATTTATAACTGAGAATTTATTGGAATTTATGGGATTTGGTGACCATAATCATGGCATGGTCGGATTATTCGACCGTGTTATATTTTATACAAAACCTGACGTACCCCTAATTTCAGTGGAACGTAAGATTAAATTAAATTTTTTATAATTTTAACAGATTTGTTTAGATTTTTGTAATTTTTAACACTAAAATTTAAGGTCTTTTTTTTTTAAGTGATTTTTTGACAGTATATTATTATTAAATTTCCTTTATTATTTTTAATATCTTTATGGTGTATTTCCATACACCCTGAAATACCATAGTGTATAAAGGTTAAAATATGTGAAATATCGATGTAATTTTATACAAATTGTATACAAAAAAAGCACAGAAATTTGGATTTAAAAGTGTTAAAATACATACATTTATAGAATTTTTAAAAATTTTTGATATTTTGTGATATTAATAACGCGTGTCCACTTCGGAAATATAGATATAAAATACATACATTTTTAAAAAATAATGATATTGAATTTGAACAAATAGTTTAAATTTTTTGTAATTTTAACAGGTTTGTTTAGATTATTTGTAATTTTTAACAGGAAAATATAAGTCGGTTTTTTTTTTTAATGTTTTTTCAATGTTATTTTAGATGTTTTTTATGTTTTTTATGCTATTTTATGTTGTTTATGCTTTGTTTTTAATGTTTTTTTTATTCATTTTTAAATATTTTTTAAGGTGTTTTTTTTTTGTAGTATAAAAAGTGTACCAAAGTGCCCCATGTACTACTAATATTTAATTAGCAACATATTGTATGAAGCAGAAACTGGGAAGTATGAAGATAACAATCATATTTTACAAAACGGTGAATGGAGAGATACCATTAGTCAACTTGAAGGTTTACATTAATAAATAAATTTATAAAATGTTTAACTTTTATAGCTAAGGATTGAAAATTTGAAACAACGTTCCACGTAAATAGTTAATTCTGCTGCAAAAATATTCAAAGAAAGTTTATTTTAATAGTTATTTTAAATTCAAATTTGGATGAAATTACTAATTAAATAACCAAAAATAACAATTTGATTTATATTATTGTAATTTAAAAGTATTACTCGTGGGTACTTAAATTTCTAGAGTATACTTTCAAACCTTATATATAAAATGATACATTTTTGTGAATTTCTAACTCAAATTAAATTGCAAATTTTCGTAATTTTTAAGTATTTTGTCATAATTCGAACTTTCATTGCTTATTAGCAAAAATTGTGACTATGTATTTTTAATATTTTTGATAACTACCATTTTGACAATATATTAGAACCCTTGTATTAGATTTTGAAACTGTTTTACCCAACGAATAAAATTGTATTGACATTTCTACGGTAATTTGTTTTAGAGTTACACTAATATCAAAAATTGATTTTGCGTAAAAATGACCGTTTTTCCTTATTTTTTTTTTTTCCCCCGGTGCTTTTGAAAACTACTATGAATCTCCCCCTCCCCCAATGCACCAACTAGATTCAAGGTCTAACCGGAAAAACTACTGAAGTTTAAAATTTAAGCATTATTTCGACAACTTAACGTGTACCTAGTACTACCTACACAAAAAAAATAATAAAAACTATATAAAAAACACACATAATATTGTAAAATTAATAATATATATTCATCACTCCACTCAGAATCTAAAATACATTAAATAGAAAACATGAATTTAAAATATTTTATTACAAATTAAATTTTTTTCTCCTATAGTTTCCATCTAACACAGATGACTGGAGAAATATCGGCACCGGTTTTCAAAATCACTATATATGGCTATATATTGATGGCTATTGTTAACAGTAATTATGAATTTACGTACGTTGATGTCGGTAAAAACGGAAGAATATTGGATGGTGGCGTGATTGAAAGTACTTTATTTTTTGAATTATTAAATCAGGACAAATTACATCTCCCAAAAACGAAGTTACTGTAAAAAATATGAATTTCGTATTTCTCACTGATGAAGCTTTTTCAATGAGTGAAAATATTCTAAAACCATACTCTCAAAGAGAATTAAACTATGAAAAACGGATCTTTAACTACCGATTATCAAGAGCCAGAAATTGTGTGGAAAATGAATTTGGTTTGATTGCCGCAAGGTTTAGAGTATTGCAAAGCGCTATACATTTAGCCCCACAAAAAGCCACTTACATAGTATTAGCCATATGCGTTTTGCATAATTTTTTAAGAAAACGTGGGGGCTCCTACATTTCAAGTTCTACATTTGATAGGGAAGATAAAAATCATGATTTGTTATATTTGTAAGTTGTTGGTAAAAGATTTTCAGTCGTTGGTAACTCATTTTAAAATTATTCACATGCTAAAACCCAATAGCGCCTACGAATGTTATGAAGACTCGTGTTTTCAGGCTTTCCAATGTTTAGCTTCTTTTAAAAGACATGTAGAAAGAAAACATATAATATGTTACACTCAAAATTATGCCCAACCTTCAGAAACACAAAATATAAACACGGTAGAACAAAGTACTTCCAATTATATTGCTAGTGGTAGTTTTATTGAAAGTATAAATGACAAAGAACCAGGCACAACATTGGAATCTGCAGAAACTTTTTTTAATTTTGATGATGTAGTAAACGATCACCGACACGGATCAAGCCACAAGGATCAATGAATGGGCGGAGCACAGCAAACGTTCGAGGTGGCGCTTGATCATGCTGCAAATTGTGTAGCAATTTCCCCAGTGTCTGTAATTGGGACGCTTTGACAAGAACTGTTAGGGAATCAGTTAATTCCGATTGACATAGAAAGGCATTGGAGTACGTCTTACCTTGACATGATCCGATAAAACGATGCGTCCATGTGACGACTCTAAGCATGTTGGTATATGAAGAAAAACGTGAGAACCATTCGCCATCAGTGTCGAGATGCACAGCTAAGAAAACACCCTTTGTTTCAGGCAGCTCTTCTAAGGACATTATACAAGGCAAAAGGTCCCAGGTATCCTCAGAATGACGTAGAAATTTAGGCCCATGCCAATACAGGGGGAGCTGCATAAGGGCTGAGGGCTGCATTCCACGCGAAGCACAATCAGCCGGATTATCATCAGTACGTACATATCCCCATTTACACGATGGTAAAAGTTGATGCACCCGGTGCACTCGATTAGAGACAAATATTTTGAACAAAGAGTGTGGATTGATCAACCAAGACAAAACTATTTGTGAGTCAGACCAGGCAAAAACATTAGTGATAACGAGTTGATGGTCAAGTGTCGCTTTGACCATCCATAGCGCCAATATAACAGAAGCAGACAATTCAAGTCGAGGTATAGTGATCTTCTTCATGGGCGCCATTTTTGTCTTGGATCCTAGAAGGGAAATGGAGACGGATCCATCTGGCTAAATCAAGCGAAGATAGACAATTGCTGCGTAGCCTTGCTCTGAAGCATCACAAAAACCGCAGAGCTGGACATGTGAACCATTTTTTGTAGCCAGAAAACGCGGAATCTTGACTTTAGTCAATGTATGGAGATCTTGGACAAAGATTTTCCACTCCTCAGTCAAGTCGGACGGAAGTGGCGCATCCCAAGCTAATCCTGCCTTCCAGATTTTCTGCAATATATGCTTGGCGTAGAAGATTACTGGAGCAATAAGGCCAATTGGATCGAATATTCTGGCAATGCGCGTTTGGTCTTGACATCACACGAAGAAGATACTTCAAAACCAAAAGTATCTTCGGAAGAGTCCCAATTCAAACCGAGAACCTTGACCAATCCCGCCTCAGGGTCATCGAACTGTAAGATCCTTTGGACACGATCCTCTTGTGGAATAGTAGCCAGAATCTGTGGATCATTACTGGACCATTTTTTCAGTTCAAAACCAGCGGTACTCGGAACAGATTTCAATGTCAACAGTTGGCTTGTGCTATCGGCGCCAACGCAAATATCGTCAACGTAAGTTTGGTGAGTTAGTGCCTGTTTGACACCTGGAAACTCTGCACAACAATTGTCGGCAAGGTCCTTCAGAACTCGCAACGCTAGGTAAGGAGCACAGTTCACTCCGTAAGTAACCGTGTTCAGTTGGTACTCCTTAAGTTCGTCCAACGGTGACGCACGCCAGAAGATGTGTTGGTACTTCCGATATTGTGGAAGTACCTGTATTTGTCTATACATTTTACACACATCTGCTGTGAAGGTGAATTGATGTACACGAAATCGGAGCATGATATCAACAATATCCTGCTGAAGTTTTGGACCAGTAAAAAGACACTGATTCAAGGAACGGTTGGATGAAGTAGTGGCCGAAGCGTCAATTACCACTCGAATTTTACTGGTTGCAACATCACCTTTAAAAACAGGATGGTGAGGTATGAAGTAGTCACCAGGACTAGGAGCGAGAAACATATGTCCTAGTGATTCATAGTCACTCATAAAAGCTGAGTAGGCTTGATTCAAAGCTGGATTAGCTTGAAGTTTCCGCTCTAGGTTTTGGAATCGCCATTTGTCGAGATCCTAAAAAACGTTCTTGCTTACCGGATTCCATGAAGGGCAATGGGACCACGAATCGACCTCTATCATCACGCACACGTTCGGTTAAGTAGATAGTTTCACACTTGCCTTCATCAGTAAACATAACTGGAGCAGGGTTAGGTTCTTCGACACGCCAGAAACGTTCAACTAGATTCTCGAGTGATACCGTGAGTGAAACATCATTTGAACAGATTCGATCGGGCTCGTGATCAGGGACAGGGCCGATCAGAATCCACCCGAATAAAGAGCCGAATGCAGTGGGCAACGAATGGTCTATGACCACGCGTTTTCCGTCTAATATTTGGGAAAACAAATCTGCTCCCAACAACAATTCAACAGGTGCTGGAAGATCAAAACTTGTAAAATCATCAAAATTGAACACCGGAAAGACCCGTTATAGGTGCTGTCCATTTGGACCGTTTTAATCCCAGGCGATCCGCGCACGCCAAGGTCATGACACTGACCTGTGAGGCCGAATCGATCAATGCGCGGACTGGTTGAGCACGACCGCAGTAATCACGAACATGTATGAGAGCGGTCCCAAGTAAAACAGTTGGCCGATCTAGTGAACCAATGTGGACGGCTGGAGAATCGGTGGAAGATGACGGCTTTCGTGACGCTTCAAAATCACGATGAAGAAGAACATGATGATGAGCCTTACACTTAGGACATGTCTTCGCTAAACATCAATTCGACCAATGAGTAGAATTCAAACATCGGAAACAAATTTAACGGTCCTTCGCCGCTTGATATCTATCATCCAGAGACATGTCAGAAAAGGTTACACACTTAACTGTAGAATGGTCGCCAGAGCAGAAAAGACATTTGGAAGTAGATGCGACCGGGGCTTGTGAAGACAACAAGGCAACTTTAGACTTTTTATTTTCAAGTCGATGAGTTGGTTTGGTTTATGCGGAGGTTGGTTGTAACTTCGCGCGTTACTCGATTGTGTGACAGTTTCTAAGACTGCAACACGTGACTTGACATAGGTGACCAAATCCGAAACCAGTGGAAATTCACAAGAATTGGCAGCCTCAAAACCTTTGCGCGTTGACCGATAGACCACGAACAGACAAGGCGAACAGGATGAACTCCCCCAAATCAGGAATATTCAACGATTTTAACATGGCGACTTGATCGGAGAACAGGATCAGAAATTGCTTCAGTCCATCCAATGATTCCTGAGACTAAGACTGGACTGCGATAACTTTGTCCACAATAAGTGACGCTAATTGTCTAGGTTTATCATACCGTTCAAATAATGTGGACCAAGCTAGGTTATAAGTATTTTCCGTAACCGCAATATTTTTAATAGTATAAAGAGCATCGCCCTTAAGACAGCCATAATAAAACCGGTCAATATTTGGCAGGTTAGGAATGTGACCCACTCTAGCAAGAAACCTATCGCAAAAAACAGGCCATTCGATCAAATCACCACTGAAAGAGGGTAACGGTATTTCTGGTAGACGGGATACTGGGTGCTACCAGGCACATTATGTCTGGACCCATTGGCACTACCGTCCAGTGACACAGTTTCACTTTTAGGTGTGTGTTGTTCAACTACAGTTACAACACTAATGTATAGAGAACGGATCTCGGTTTCTAATTGTGTAGAAAACTCAGATGTAAGGTCCAAATCCAATAATGCATCCAAAACAGCTTGATTATGTGACACAAAGGATGTCCATAAAGAATCCAGATCACCAGCAGCAATTAAAAAATTAGGTAACAGATTTAAATTATCATGGACACGAGCCGCTGTCTCAGCTAATGCCTTATTTCGGTTAACAGTACCTTCACGGTTAAGCAATGAGATAGTCTTAGCCCTAACTGCTAGTCTTTGCTCACGAGCAGCCTTTTCTTGGCTTGTCTCTACCATATTAATTCAGTATATATAAACTAAAAAATATTTAAATATAAAAAACACTCACTTTACTATAATAATATAACACCAATAAGCAATAAGGTGGTATACAATGTGCATATACAGTAGTACCTAAACACAGTAAATATGTGAGCTGAAAGGGGAAGCAATCCCAATTGGTACTTACTACAACACAGAACACTTACCAAGAAAAGTGTGTAACTAACAACCCAAAACCATAAACATGTACCTACTCACATTTAAACAAAGGCACCCAACTTCATTCACTAGTGTCTTTCGCTGATGTGACTATACTATAAAATTAACCACGCTCTGCTACCAAATGTTTAGTCAAGAGGCTCCTACGATTTTAGTGGTCGGCCTCATTGACTACATCAACGAAAGTTAACAGTTTGAAGGAATACCAGAACCAATGTGACAGTTGGATTCTCAGACTATGACCTCATCAACTATACTCTGAGATATATAACGTGCACGTATGGCAAGGCACATACAATAATTTATTGATGAAATACAAAAGAGATAATAATAATAGAGGCAATGGCTAATGATTTGGTACCGGCGCCTCAGTACCAATCAATAGGAAAAATACAAAGTATAAATATTAACAAAGAATAATCAATAAATGATACTATCAACACATGATAATAATAACAGGTAATCATAATAATAACCAACACTGGATTATGATAAATAATAACGCGCGTCTCCTGCGACCGTTGGGGATGACTTGGCTGTTGCCAACTCCGACTTGATAGTAGGTAGTAGGTACAATATGACCGCTGACGTTTGAGACCACACGTAACACTCGTCACGGGATGCGGCGGCTACGATGACGTATGACAGAGAATACAGGTGTGGGTTCGGTTTGATCAGAACCGAACGCACGCGTATTATAGGCGATTCACAGATGCTCGCCAAACCAAACAGCGGCCGTATAATAATAGCAGCACAGGTCGCACGAACAGCGCTTTAATATAATATATCAGTCGGTCGACCTGGCACCATATAAGAAGCAATAACACGACCAACGAAGCGGCGAAAAACAGCCTATGAAGGTTACAACGAATGGATAAAATATAATAATATTGTTACGGTGATATGGCGGCACGCGTTACGTGGACGGCAAATCAAGTCGCGATCACAAGCACAAGGCAACGCGGAACCGTATATCGGCCAGCGCAACGACGACACAACGACGGACCGTACGTTGACAAAGGTCGTTGGGTAACTAATTAGGTCAACGTTTTACGGGGTCTACGCGGACGTGCGTTATCGGTGACGGCATGCTAGACGGGCGGGGGGACGGCACGACCGGTTCATAGACGCATTGGCTAAACATCGACTGCGGCGCTCGAACAATATGTTTTATAAGAAAACTACAGAAAATTACGCTCGGCAAGTGCTGCGCCCGTAGTCAGTGGCAGCGTTCGATACTAGCTGTGCATACCACCACCCCGCGCGCATTAACGGCGGTACCGCACCGTGGTCAAAACAGGTTCTCTATCGCAGCCGACCGCCCGTGCATAGTTTATAAATAACCAGATAAGAAAATGATTATTATATTTGTGACAAATATTATTTAATTTGGTTAGATTTTATATTTTGTATTCGTATCCGAATTTTATACAAATAAAAACTATACTTTTGTTCTTCAAGTAGGTAATAGTGTAATACGGCTTATTGAAGCGGTTTACAATAAAAATACCTATTATAAAAATTGTAGAGGAGAATTTTTTTAACAATCGTAAGGAATCCGATTTTTGATATCGTATTCCAATCGTCCAATATCGCATGGTAAATTAACATTTTTTTTTTACGTTTTATCGATTAATTATTTAACTTATTAAGAGTGTGCAACAGTAAAAGTGTTACGTATACAACGCTCCAGAGATGGCGTTGTGCGCCGTATCGCCGCCGTCGCGGCCGGACGTAACCACGCCCACTGTCTCCGTGGCGGACCTACGCGGCGTACTCGCAGGAGAGGCTCATTATTATTTCACGAACAGTCTAGTTTACGGGGTCCATACAATATTGGCCTTGGCCATTGCGTAAATTGTCACCCGTGTATTTCTAATGCACGTACCATTGCGCGCTCGATCCTCGCTAGACTTACTTTTTAATGAAAGCTCCTGTTTACTTAAATATGTGTATCAATACATAAATTACAACAAATTTAAGCAGATAGCTTGATTTACATTTGTAACCTTATTAGTAATTAAAATAATAATTCGTTATGAGTAAATACATTTTTTAGTAACCATGTTGGGTGTTTACATTTTAACTTTAGGTAACCTGAAGCACTTTTCGTACGGTAGTTGATTATTCTCCTAAATTTATCAAATTTAATTGTAATAATTATTTTGTAGTTAAAAATGTATCTCACCCATATACCTATAATTCTATTCACGCGGCGCGCTCGCTGCTGGGTTTAACCTCACAAGCTACTAGTAGACAGTAGGCAAAGTTGAAAGTAGTAGTATACTAGTGTAGTAAACAAGGATTTTTTTCAATAATAACAAAAGTTTATGTATATTATGTATATTGTATATGTACTTAAACACTTCTAGACTTTTTTTTTTTAATAATAATTTATTGATTATTTAATATAATGAAATGTAGTAACAAAATTTTTTATAGTCTTCACCGCGGGTCTTTTATATCGGAAACAAGTGACCTCTTTCCAAATTGTGGATTGATCAATTCCGGCAGTAGACAGTTCATATAAAAACTATAATAATGATATAAAACCGTAATATTATATTAATTAAATATATAATTATAAATGTACATTAGTTTATATGCTAAGTTTTGTACAGTCATTACATTTATTTAAATACTGACTTTTCTAATTTTGGTGCCATTTTAGTCTGCCAAAAATCATCATCATAATCTACTCTTTCAATACTTGTCCAATAGCTAGTATAAATTACAAAATAACATTTTGTTTTTTTACAAATATGCATTTGTCCTTGGATCTGGTAGTAATAGTTGCTATTTTTTTTTAATTTTAATTTTTTATCAATAAGTTCACATTGTGGCAACTATATACAGAAATAAAATAATCATAAATCATAATTATTACCACAAAGAAAATAATTATTGTATGAGCTAAAAATTATTCATAATACCTTTTTGTCATTGAAAGCATCAATAAAATTATCATAATCCTTAGCTGATATTGGACATTTAACTTCAATAATAGTGTCATCATCAATCACTCCATCTGTACAATTTTTACAAAATATATATTGAATTCAAATTCTATTAATTAATAACTACCTGAATTTTTAAAACTAATAACAATATTTTGAAGACAAACTAATATAAAAAAAAACCGGGAAAGTCGCGCTCTGCTGTATAGTAGGGGTCGAGTGGGTTAAACTTGAATGCAATGATAGATATCATTGTATACGAAAAACGATTCTGAACGGAGATGATTTGTCAATATTTTCTATTTTTACATTTATATTGATATTAATTAATTTTCTATTATTAATATAATAATTTTGATGAGTTTTACATGAATTTAAAATACGCTCATAAAAAATATTAACGAAATATCATTCGACGTTTATTAATGATTATTTAAATTTAAACTTATCTAGAACCTTGGATTGAAATTTCAAACCTTAGGTGAATAATAAATATTTTATGAATTTTTTTCTTCAAAATGATTTGAAAATTTTGACGTTTTTGACGAATTTCGGAAATATTTGAACTTTAAACGCTAATAAAAAAAACTGTGCTTATGTATTTACAAAATTTTTACCTACACTTTGACCTACCCACTCGACACCTACTATACAGCAGAGCGACTTTCCCGGTTTTTGTTTTTTTTTTATACTAATGATTCTTATTATTTATTATTTTTTAATAAAAAACATTGGTAATAATGCATTATTATAAATAAGTCTATTTTTAATATTACCTGGACTGGCTCCCAAAAATGGGTATTCTAAATCGCAGTATAAACCACATGGCTTAAGGGGATTGGAAGCGACGATTTTCTGTCTTTATCTAACACACGTGCAACATAGGATTATAGACGTGTTCTATTTCCAACGTACCGATTAATCTAATGAAGCGATAAGAATTCTGAAAACAGATTTGAATTTGTCGTCAAGTCTACTTGAGATCGACTTCCCCACATTTTTGATTTTTTGATTTAAACTTCTCCAAAAGTTGAAATATGTAAATTTTTTAATTACTATTTTTAATATATCGTTTTTATGATTTTGGTGGGACAATATCAAAAATGTGGGAAAGTTGATCTCAAGTAGACTAGACGACAAATTCAAATCTGTTTTCAGAATTCTTATCGCTTCATTAGATTAATCGGTACGTTGGAAATACAACACGTCTATAATCCTATGTTCCACGTGTGTTAGATAAAGACAGAAAATCGCCGCTTTCAATCCCCTTAACTTTTAAAAACATAGTTTTTTCGAAATCTGCAATTGCCGAAGATTCCATTGCTTTCCCATATTCCGTAGCCTTTGAACTAAAAGTTCTGTATACTAAATCATATACCAGATTTTTACATGATGTAGTGGCTCTTTTTTTGCATATGCGTCCAAAATTTGAGGCAGTTAATCTCTTTCGTCTTTCTATGTGCCACTTCTTAGAATTTGATTGACTTCGAGTTTCTTCTTCTAAAGTATTTCGCTGATACATATTCATACATAATGTGTTTAAAAATTTAAGTTTAATTTCGTCATAGTCAAAGGGTTCGTCGTTTTCTAGAGGTTCGGCTAACTCATAATCATTGTCCGGACCGTAATGTTTAGAGTTTCTAGGTACATTTTCATTAAATAACATACGTCTTCTTCTCTGATCATTTTTCTTTTCTTTTGAAATTAAGAACTTTTTACCAACATCTCCTAAAAAAATAAAACGTCAAAATTATCATATAAAATAATTTAAAGGTGGCATTATAATTATCTATTTGCTGTAGAATTGAAAATTGAAATCAACGTATTCAATTAAAATTCTCCCAAGATATACATAATACATATTATATAGTCTATATTATAATTATTTATTTTCTTACCAGGACTTTTATCTTGAACTAATGCTTTATGAATAGTACTGTATGTATTTTCCAGATGTGTTGTGAGATAGTAAAGCTGCTTCTACTCGGACATTGTAATTATGTCTTTGTGAAAAATTTATTCGTTTTCCGGAAAGGTGTTTATTTATGATGCTATTAAATTGTTCACAAATATTATTGTCAACGTTCATCAATAAACTTTCAGCATTATTTGCTAAGCGGTTTACTATTTGAATAAATTCTTCTAACAAACCAGTAGTCAGAGCTTCGTCAATATAATTGATTTCGTTTGGCTTAGGACCATTGCAAAAATACGGTTCACATAATCTATGGTAACCAAGAATATGTCGAAACTATTTGTGATATTGATATCTTTTCGTAAACCTGGGTAATTATTAATTATACATTATTTTACATTATTTTGTATGGAAAATAAACTCGCTTACCAAATATTTTCTCTTCTTTTGTCTCATATTGCAACTTGCTGCGGTAATCCGTGGCCTTAGTTATGGCACTTCGAAATCGTACGGGATTTTTTTTTATATGGTTCGTAATTGAAATTGGATATTTCGTATTTTTTACTATTCCTGTCAATTTTGTGCCATAATTCCGTAATAAATGGTTACGGCACTCAATTTTTTCAATAAAAAAATTTGGACCGTATGGCATTACCTCTTGTAGCCTTTTAGTAACACTAGAATCTCCATCTCCTTTAAAATAATAACTAGTGATGTGGATTTTACGTAAAAAATTTTTTGGTCAATAGGGAGTTTTTGCATATCGCCGGTTAAACATTACGGTAAAATTAACGTTCGGTTAAACCAAACGTTAATATTTTTATCGTAATTGATAAAACTTCAGTTTTTGCATAACCGGTGAGGTTTTCTTTAGATAAAAGACATTTATCACATTTAAACATTTTGTACCTACTTAATAATTAAAAATTACATTAGGTAAATTTTATACATAGGTACAAAATTATATTAAAGTATACATTTTATATTCTATTATTTTTTAAATATTTTATACTTTTATTCGATATGGAAGAAATATTAGAATTGGTCTGCTTAGATGAAATGACAACGGACGATATTGAACATATTTTATTAAATGAGCTACTATTTTTTCGAAGTGAAATACATTTTAGTTCTACATCGTATGGTAATTTTAATTTGGATGAAATAAGTAATGAATCATGTAGACAACTTTTCAGGTTTGAGAAACAAGATTTGGAACGGCTTAGATTAAATTTAGGTATTCCTGATGTAATAGAAACTGCACAAAGGTATCGCGTCACGGGTAGGTACTTAATTTTAATATATCATAAAATATAATTATTTTCTTTGAAGTTACAAATGTACAATATTTTAAGCAATGGATTAGAGTAATTTTTTTCTGTTTGTTGATACACTTTTAGGTGTAGTAGGGTTATGTATTTGTCTTCGTCGTCTTACTTATCCAAACAGGTTAAGTGACTTAGAGAGGATATTTGGATTAAGTTCTTCCTATATAAGTAGTATTAGCAACCATGTAATGTCTATCATAGAAACAAACAATGGACATATTTTACACAATTTGAATAATTTACCTTGGCTGAATGAAACAAAATTAAAGTATTATGCAAAAGTAAGGATTACACAGTGGCGCAACGAGGGGAGGGGGTCTTAGCCATTCCTAACCAAGATTTAACCCCCCAAATATAAATATAGCCCAATGGGTTATTTTAAATTAATAGTTTTGTTGGGTGGGCTGTAACCCCCCCCCCAGAATTTTAACCATAGTTGCGCCTATGCTAAGACACAATAACCATAAGGATTAAAAGTAGGTAACTAAAATGTTTGTATTACTTAATTATCGTGATAGGCAATATCAAACAAAGGAGCACCAATTCAAAACTGCTGGGCTTTTATAGATGGAACTGCCAGACCTATATGTAGACCAACAGTGAATCAGCAAAACTATTTTTCTGGACATAAACGACACCATTGCTTAAAATACCAAAGTGTATTGACTCCAAATGGCATAATTGTTAACCTTCGAGGACCATATCCAGGAAGAAGGCATGATGCAGGTATAAGCATTAAATATATACATAATATTTACAAAAAAAACTAATTTTGTAAATAATAATTATTTTCCATTTAAAAGGTATGCTAAGAGATACAAACTTGTACACAGAACTCATGGAGATTGCAGTGCATGGTAGTACCACATAATATGTAATTTATGGAGATCCAGCATATCCCATGTCAGAGCTTATTCTTAAACCATATTGTAGTAGAATATTAACTCCAGAACAAGTTGCATTTAATAAAGCGATGTCCTCAGTACGCCAAGCTGTGGAATGGGGATTTGGCAAAGTTATAATAGAATTTGCTTTTTTGGATTTCAGAAAAAACCAAAAACTCCTTCTACAACATGTAGGCCAAATGTATAAAGTTGGTGTAATTTTAACTAACTGCCATACATGCTTATATGGAAGTCAAACAGGAACTTATTTTAATATAGTTCCACCCACATTAGAACAGTACTTAAATATTTAAGAATAAAAAACTTTTCTTGCTATGCGTATCAACTGTTTATTGTTTATTAATATATATAAAAAAGAACTTTATTATAGTAATAATAATGTCAAAAAATACTAACAAATGGTATATAGAACAAGTGACAACATTATAATTAAAGAGAAAAAAATTTACATATTTTATTGATAACATTACAAAAACAAGTCATTATAGACATCATTATTTTTATACAGAAAAATAATATCTAACAAATAAAAGCATATAACATAATTGATATAACATACTTTATATAGGTAAAAACAAATTAATAAACTAATAAATCAATAAAAAAAAGAAAACTATTCAAATAAAAATAACATAAATTATTACCTTTTATGAGTTGTTCAAGTTCAAACATATGTAGAAATAATGTTTTTGTTATTCCTTCAACATTATTATTTTTAACTAATAATACTCTATAACAATATAATAATATGAGTAAAAGTAAAACCCTAATTGTCTTATAAAAAAAGCAACTCTAAATAAATAGGTAATACCTAACAGAAATTATGACTTTTTTATAAGTTGTTCTAACATTAACTGTAATATTTTTTGTTGCTGACTAGCAATTTCAACTTTTTGAATTTCTATTTTTAGTCTTTCCTCCCTTTCCTTCTTTTCCAGAATCATTCTTTCTTCTCTCTCTCTCTTTTCCATAAATAGTTGTTCTTCTCTTACCAATTTTTCCAAGTTAAAATTATCTGTCTTTTCTTTCTTATCAAATTCAAACTTTTCTGTATCTAGTTTAATTCTTTTTTCTTCTAGCTCTAATTTTTTTTCTTCTAAAGCTAATTTTTTCAAATGTGTTTCATGTTCTTTAACATGTTTTTGTTCTAAAAAATTTAAAGTTGACAACTTAAGTGGCTCATTCATCCTTTTCTTACTTTGTTTACTGCAAGGAATAAATATTATAAATTGGTATAAAATTAGAGTACAATAATATAGGAAAACAATAAGTTAATATTAAATCAATTGGACCTACAGTTGTTCAGTTTTTCACAAATAGCCAACTAAAAAGTTAATAAAACTAATTATTGGGGAGTAGAGTGTCATGACTATAACTGTGACTGACTTAAACTGAAATAAATTAAGAATATTAAAAATGTTTATTCATACCAGATGGAATCTCATAATTTTTTTCCACTTGTAAGATTGATCTTGATGTTATTTCATTGTCGAATACCTGTGACATTAATGTTGATGGGATTTCATTGTTGAGTTCTTCTGGTTGGTTAGATATCTGTTCTGTAACTTCTTGAGTATCGTGTGGTTCTTGGTTATTAGCTAAACATTGTATTTATTTTAATAGTGCCTAGTATACAGTAGCATACTTATTCATGGGATATGAACATTTACTTGTAGTAATGTTGTTTAATTCAGTAAACACATTTTCCCTTCCGTCAACATCATAATCAAAAATAATATATTCACTGCAATCTTTATTGATTGTACTGCTTAACATACCTGTGACACAACATGAAATAACATAATAGTTGTGATATTTATGATTATTGTATGACCAATATGTCAATTATATACCTACCTACTTAAAATGTTAAAAAATTGAAATGCAATGGTACCTACTACCTACCATGTACTGCATAGTGCATACTACCTACTCTATACAAAAAAAATTTAAAATACTTACCTTTTGTTGCATTAGTCCTTGTGACACATCCTTTCTCCTGATCCATTTTTTTGGTATTTTTAGATTTTTTCAAAGGTTTTTTAAAATCTCTACATAAATCATTTATATCCTGAAGCAATTGACATTTCTCTCCATACTCTTCTTCAGTTCCAGATCTTTTAGAAAACATTTTAATACAATTAAATTAGGTCAAACATTTGTTGCAAGCCATGTAAATAGGTACTTAATTGTGAGGGATAATAATATTATGTGAAAACCATATTATCATAACAAATAATCTAAACCCACAAAAAGTTATGCTTTAAAATGTTTTTATATTTCTTTAATTATAACCCACCCCCACAATTGTTGATAAATATGTTTGAAATAACTAATAACTTACTTTTTTAAATTTGTACGATCTTCCTTAGCCCATATTTTTAGTAAATGTTCTACATGTTCTTTGATAGTTCTAATGGAAAACTGTTTGTTTGAAAAAGTCAAAACATTTTTATGGATAATGGACCACTTTTCATTGTTTTCAAATGGATTGTGGCACAAAACTTCTCGCAACAGACATAAATCATCATTGGTATTTGTAAATCTTAAACGCTCTTTTTTGATTTTCTCCATAATGGACCATTTATTACAAAAAATATTTAAAACGTTTAAAAGAAATTCTTTTGAAAGATTTTATTTTCCTTTATCAATTCGATTTGATAAGTGATAACCGATTACGAAAAATCGACTTCAATAACGTACACGTTAAATTCTGAAAAATAACCGATTACGATATGGGAATAACCGAGCCGTTATTTGGAGCGCATGCGCAAAGACATATTTTGGTAAATACCGTTAACGGATTTAAACGTTATTTTTAACCGGCGTTATGCAAAAACTCCCTATTTACTGAGTAAAATTACGGTAAAATTGGTAAATTTTTATTAAAATTAAATTTATAGTGTACCTGTTGAATTTTTTTACAATATTATGTACAGAAGGCAAGATAAATATAAAATTAAGCATTAGTACGAGACTCACATCACAAACAAAAAAAACCAAAAAAATACATTTTAATATAGATATATAATATGACTCATTATTGCAGATACGCATTTTCTTAAAGTTTTCACCTCAAATTAATTTACATTTTAAGTCATTTTATAAGACATCAAAAATCATTTTAAGCACAAGCCAGTGATATATTTATATAGTTAAATGAAGATAATACATTTCTTTATACGGATCTGAATTTTTGCAGTTTAGCCTATTACGACATTACCTACGATAACGAAATTATACATATATCACGAAATTATATTACCCACAATGGCCACAAATTTATAGAAACTCATTTTTTTTTATAAAAGTATTGATATATTTTGTTATGTTAATCCGGGTGTTATACTTCATTAATAAAGATTAGTTGAATAAAAAAATTGAAATTATTGTGTATCCACGAAATTACTTTACCATCATATCACGAAATTAAATACCATATCACCAAATTACCTAAATTATCTCAATTACTTTTGAACTTTTATAAAAACTTATCACCGAAAGACCAGACAAATGAAATAACTTTTGTTCTAATACAATATAATTTTTTTTTTATCAAATTTCAAATGTTTATCCAGTTTTTGTAACAAATATTTGAATAGGATTCACAACTTAACTACTGCATTACTTATACTATAATTATAATAATTAATAATATAAATAATTATCTTACCAATTAATTTATTATATTTTAACCCATGCATTTCTACACTTTTTTTAAAACCTTCAGCGACCGCATCTGCTTCTATGCTAGTTGCTCCTTTTGACCAGTTCATAAAGCATGTATGGTTAGTAGAACCTTCGGTTTTCTTATTTTTAAATCTCTGGCAAATCACGAAATATCGATTTCGAATACCAATGAATAATATTTTTTTAGTCTTATAGCCAATAATAGTAGCCTAAAATTATAAAAATTCAATAAAATATGTTTTTTATTAATTATGTTTATATGACTTATTAAAACATCTTACAACACCAGACAAAGCATCATACTTCGTCTTGTAACTACGCTTTGACCATTGGCCATCTGCTACGACGGTACACATTGGTGTACCATCATGGTCAATTTCGCCTGCCGCTATTGCCAATTTTTTTTCCTCTTCGCCTGCTATTAGCATTTTTTTCAATACCGCATTATGTATTTTCTCACTCATAACCAATAAAACTGCATTATAAGTTGTATTTGACATACATGAGATATCAGAGGAAACAAGTACTTCAGCAAGTTGTGTATAGCCTATACCAGCTGCAATTGTCCCACTAATTATAGCTTGATTTATGGGAATAAAATCTTCTGGTTCACTTTTCTCAGATTCAAACGAAGATTTTAAATTACACATTTTACATTGAAAAATATATGAAGATCTGAATCCGTAACGTTTTTCGGATAAAAATTGCATGTCTAAGAATGAGCAACCAAAACTTCCTGCGTGTTTACTTTTTTGTATTTGTTCAAAAACATACAATATATCGACAATTCGACGACCAGTGCATTTCTAAATAATAATAATACGAAAAAGTAAACAATATAAAAATATAAATAAAACGTTTTATAATTTTCCCGATGTTATTTGTACATATAAATATATAATATTTTATTTGTAGGTTTATATTGCATATTTTATACTATATAGCCATATTATAGGTATGTTGAGAATATTACGAATATTACTATATTACGATTATTTTTAATTATTAATTTAATGCTTAAATATATATATACATATAGCATTCGAATTACGTACTTAGAGAGTACTGTATCAGTATATGATGATGAAGAGGATGATACATATGTTTCTGCACATAGCTTATGGTGTTCAACATCGGAAACGTTGCCAAACAATAAATTAGATTCAGTTTCTGTATTCACCAAATTGGTATTTGAATAACTGATCTGAATATTTTTTGGTGTACTAGTCAGAATGGATTCTCTAATAATAATATACATTTTATAGATAGTTATTTAATTAAAATACGTAAGCTGTATACAATACATATACATTTATAAATTTAATAGAAGATTTTCTATATGTTTTGCTCATAATAATTATAAAAAAAACTCAAACGTCATCATTACACAAAAACTTTTTATGAGCGCCTGAAATTTAAATTTTTACATAACCTCGTAAAATAACGATTAATCCTCAAACGATTTTGGATATTAATTATTATTAAAAAATTATAAGTCGTGGAAACTTGAAACATTGTGTTAAATTTTCAATTCTTAGTTTTGAATACAAAAAAATGTATACATTTTAAACTATGAAATAATTTGCAAATATTCGTGATTTTG